CTGGTTCACACCAGCAGGTACCATTGTAGGAGTTCCCATAAGGATTATTATGTTTTAGGGTCTATATTGGGGTTCCCCTATTCAAGGAAACTACCATTTCGGGGTGCCTCTTCGAAGGGTCATATGGGGTTATGCAGGGGTCAACACTCGTGCTTGTAAAGTTTGGTTTTAAGGGTTTTGCGTACAGGGCTGGGCTATTGACAGCTTAAAAGGTCTAGTGTCGTGTGCTTTAGGACTCGAGTATGTGGGAGTCTAGGAACCTCTGCAGGATGTTTACCCTGTCTCGTCAACTGAAAATACAAAATGTCGACGACGTCGGGCGCCTCAAACCTCATATATACATTGGGTTGGGCCCCACCCACTAATAGTGACCACAAGAGATACTGGTAACTACATTAGGGCCCTTATATATTCTAGTATACCACTATTAGTGGGTGGGGGCCCAACCCAATATCTACAGCTTTGTTTCCAGGACATGTCAGGCTAGGCAGAACTCTGTTAAAGGGCCATCGCTACCACTCTGAACTCTTCGCCGCTACCAGCAGTATACTCTTACCGCAACCCCATAAGCATTTGCTACAACGTATGCTGACTTGATAGCTTGGCATTGAATAACCAAGCAACGAATTAAGCCCGGAGCCAAGAGCCTACGGCAGAGTGAAGCTAGATGGCACGGAATGATACCCATGGTAACTGCTAAGACACCCTTCATAACGCAGGAAGCTCGGTAAGTACTCAGACTCCTTCTCCTCCCTGAACTCAGAATGCGATTACATTCTTGACGCATTTTTGGCAAAGATACACCAAAACCCTTATTCCTATCTCATCAGGTTTCCACATATAGTCCCCCTGAAGTAAATAGAGTATGGTGTATATGGGGATCTTATTATAATATACCCAAAGCCATATTCTATCTACTTAAGGGAGACTATAACCCCTTATGAGAAATTCTTGGCCCGCCTGGCCGGGGGGTCTACCCCCTCAGAATTTGAGCCGCACTTGGAGCAGCAGCATGAGGCGCCAAGATGGGCGGTCAGATACGGTAAGATACAAGAAACACCCCCTTCCCAATAATG